CTCGTGCGGACCGTTTCGCGTTTTCGAGCAAAAATGGCTCACGACGCCCCGGGGCGGGCCCGCCCCAAATAGGGTGGGACGCACGTTTGTGCGCGTTTGGAGCCGAGACCCATCCTGGATGGCGCGTGGGGGTATGGCGTGCAGGATCGTGCGAAGAAATGCCGTGCGATTCGCACTTTTCTACACTCGTGCGGACCGTTTCGCGTTTTCGAGCAAAAATGGCTCACGACGCCCCGGGGCGGGCCCGCCCCAAATAGGGTGGGACGCACGTTTGTGCGCGTTTGGAGCCGAGACCCATCCTGGATGGCGCGTGGGGGTATGGCGTGCAGGATCGTGCGAAGAAATGCCGTGCGATTCGCACTTTTCCACACTCGTGCGGACCGTTTCGCGTTTTCGAGCAAAAATGGCTCACGACGCCCCGGGGCGGGCCCGCCCCAAATAGGGTGGGACGCACGTTCGTGCGCGTTTGGAGTCGAGACCCATCCTGGATGGCGCGTGGGGGTATGGCGTGCAGGATCGTGCGAAGAAATGCCGTGCGATTCGCACTTTTCCACACTCGTGCGGACCGTTTCGCGTTTTCGAGCAAAAATGGCTCACGACGCCCCGGGGCGGGCCCGCCCCAAATAGGGTGGGACGCACGTTTGTGCGCGTTTGGAGCCGAGACCCATCCTGGATGGCGCGTGGGGGTATGGCGTGCAGGATCGTGCGAAGAAATGCCGTGCGATTCGCACTTTTCCACACTCGTGCGGACCGTTTCGCGTTTTCGAGCAAAAATGGCTCACGACGCCCCGGGGCGGGCCCGCCCCAAATAGGGTGGGACGCACGTTTGTGCGCGTTTGGAGCCGAGACCCATCCTGGATGGCGCGTGGGGGTATGGCGTGCAGGATCGTGCGAAGAAATGCCGTGCGATTCGCACTTTTCTACACTCGTACGGACCGGTTCGCGTTTTCTAGCAAAATGGCTCACGACGCCCCGGGGCGGGCCCGCCCCAAATAGGGTGGGACGCACGTTTGTGCGCGTTTGGGGCCGAGATCCATTCTGGATGGCGCGTGGGGGTATGGCGTGCAGGATCGTGCGAAGAAATGCCGTGCGATTCGCATTTTTCTACACCCCGTGGCGGACCGTTTCGCGTTTTCGAGCAAAAATGGCTCACGACGCCCCGGGGCGGGCCCGCCCCAAATAGGGTGGGACGCACGTTTGTGCGCGTTTGGAGCCGAGACCCATCCTGGATGGCGCTTGGGGGTATGGCGTGCAGGATCCTGCGAAGAAATGCCGTACGATTTGCATGTTTCCACACCCGTGCGGACCGGTTCGCGTTTTCGAGCAAAATAGCTCACGACGCCCCGGGGCGGGCCCGCCCCAAATAGGGTGGGACGCACGTTTGTGCGCGTTTGGAGCCGAGACCCATCCTGGATGGCGCTTGCGGGTATGGCGTGCAGGATCGTGCGAAGAAATGCCGTGCGATTCGCACTTTTCCACACCCGTGCGGACCGTTTCGCGTTTTGGATGCCTCTTTTTTTATACTAGTCCTCTATACTAGACTATTTTCCACATCCACATCAAGTGGCTCCATTTCATTCCGCGTGGTTTGCAAGATTTGAGCGCCCGAACTCTGCCTGGTACGCCCATTGTAGATGCGCGTACTGTCCAGACTGCCTAGCGCATCACTTTGACTGGTCCACTGCGTTGGATGCCTCTTTTTTTCTGCTAGTCCTCTAGATAGGACTATTTTCCACATCCACATCAAGTGGCTCCATTTCATTCCGCGTGATTTGCAAGATTTGAGCGCCCGAACTCTGCCTGGTACGCCCATTGTAGGTGCGCGTACTGCCCAGACCGCCTAGCGTATCACTTTGACTGGTCCACTGCATTGGATGCCTCTTTTTTTTTGCTAGTCCTCTAGATTAGACTATTTTCCACATCCACATCAAGTGGCTCTATTTCATTCCACGTGGTTTGCAAGATTTGAGCGCTTAACTCTGCCTGGTACGCCCATTGTAGGTGCGCGTACTGCCCAAACCGCCCAGCGTATCACTTTGACTGGTCCACTGCGTTGGATGTTCTTATTTTCTGCTAGTCCTCTAGATTACACTATTTTCCACATCCACATCAAGTGGCTCCATTTCATTCCGCGTGGTTTGCAAGATTTGAGCGCCCGAACTCTGCCTGGTACGCCAATTGTAGGTGCGCGTACTCCCCAGACTGCCCAGCGCATCACTTTGACTGATCCACTTCGTTGGATGCCTCTTTTTTTTTTCTATTCCACTAGATTAGACTATTTTCCACATCCACAACAAGTGGCTCCATTCCATGTGGTTTGCAAGATTTGAGCGCCCGAACTCTGCCTGGTACGCCCATTATAGGTGCGCGCATTGCCCAGCGCACCACTTTGACTGGTCCACTGCGTTGGATGTCTCTTTTTTTTCTGCTATTTCTCTAGATTATATTATTTTCCACATCCACAACAAGTGGCTCCATTTCATTCCATGTGGTTTGCAAGATTTGAGCGCCCGAACTCTGCCTGGTACGCCCATTATAGGTGCGCGTACTGCCCAGACTGCCCAGCGCATCACTTTGACTGATCCACTGCGTTGGATGCCTTTTTATTTATGCTATTCCTCTAGATTACACTATTTTCCACATCCACATCAAGTGGCTCCATTTCATTCCGCGTGGTTTGCAAGATTTGAGCACCCAAACTCTGCATGGTACGCCCATTACAGGTGTGCGTACTGCCCAGACTGCCCAACGCATCACTTTGACTGGTCCACTCTGTTAGATGCCTTTTCTTCTCTGCTAGTCCTCTATAATACACTATTTACCACATCCACATCAAGTGGCTCCATTTCATTCCGCATTGTTTGCAAGATTTGAGTGTTCGAACTCTGCCTAGTATGCCCATTATAGGTGCGCGTACTGCCCAGACTGACCAGCGCATCAGTTTGACTGGTCCACTTCGTTGGATGCCTCTTTGTTCTTGCAATTTTGCACTCACTAGGCCCTTGTTCTTGCAATTTTGCACTCACTAGGCCCTTGTTCTTGCAATTTTGCACTCACTAGCCTTTTCTCCCCTTTTTTCTTTTCTCGCAATTTTGAACTCACTAGGCCCTTGTTTTTGCAATTTGGAACTCACTAGACACTTGTTCTTGCAATTTTGCACTCGCTAGGCCCTTGTTCTTCAATTTTGCATTCACTAGGCACTTGTTCTTGCACTTTTGCATTCACTAGGCCCTTGTTCTTGCAATTTTGCACTCACTCTACTAACTCCCTTGTTCTTGTCTTGCAATTTTGCACTCACTATGCACTTGTTCTTGCAAATTTGCAGTCACTAGGCACTTGTTCTTGCAAATTTCCACTCACTAGGCCCTAGT